GATTGCTTGATGCATACAAGGAGCATGAGTGAGTCAGACCGACTCTGGGGACTCCATCCCTACGGCTCTGCAGAGTACTCCTTGCCGATAAAATGCTGATAGTATAAGAATGCCTCATCTCAGGACAGAGAGTCAGACTGTACTGGCTTCTTCTTCTTCTTAAATAGGGCCTTCATGGAACTTCCACTCAGCTGAGATCCTAGCCAGCTATTTTTCTTGTTGAATGTGAACCGTCCTTTTTGCGCGAAGCAGGCGTGTGCGACATGCAAAGACGAGTTGTTCAGCCCTGTCAACCTCTGCGTCCGATCCGGTCTTCAATCTTTGACTCGGTTTTTACAATGTGTCCAGGTTTGCAAATGAAGAGATTTTTTTATAGGCACAGCACATGTCTACTCGCATTATAAACTAATTCAAGCGCAAGACACCGTCCCAATGTCCACCCTGTGGTGGCTCACACGGCTGAACTGGTTAAAAAGACAAAAAGTAACTCACAATGACACGGGTTATTACCTTAACCAGACGCAGGAAAACTCTGTGCTCAGGATGCGGTTTTCCGTTTTTCAGATCCATATGGTTGAAGAAAATTTCGATTATGCTGTCTACCCAGCTACTCGTCGTATTCCTTACGTCTTTGATTTTTACTTCCAAGTTGAGCACTTCCTCACCACCAAATATTTCGAGAAGAGATTCGATTTTCTAAAAACATATTGTACTGAGATGAACAATCAACAAGGAGCTAATTATCAAGTAAATATTTGAGGCGATTATTAGGAACTTAATGCTTATTGTCTAGCCTATGATGCATAACAAGATTGGCGGGCTCTTCGGTGGGAGTGTTTGCGAAAATATCGAACAAGGGGTTATAAACTGGTTGTATACTGCCTTTTAAAACCACGGAAGTATTAAAAAAGCCAGTAAAGTTCTGTACGGCATCTTCAAGAAACACACAACTGCTATCGAAACAGAAGTTATTTCTTTCTTGATTTAAAGCTCACGTGCTTGACAACATTCGGCGAATATGAAGTTGCATGCTCTGCTAATAAATGTTCGGTAAATCGGATTAACTAGAAAATGGACTTCAATCAAGCAACAAGCTTTTAAAGAGACTTGCATCCTGCGTCAAATATATTATATAGGCTACGTGGTGCCCCGCTATTTGCGGTATTATAAAAAGTGGGTGAGTAAGCGTGACCTGTTAGGCTCCAAGTAGATAGCTCCTAGTTTGAAGTACATCGTAATGTGAGGTCTTATGCCGTTTGTTTTTAAGGAACTACGGTGTTCTGTCACAAACATCACTGAGCTAGCTAAATAAACATCGTCATCCCAGGTTAGAGCTCACTCGACGAAACCCGGCCATATTTTCAAGTTTAAGGAGGCCGAAATCCTCGAAAGAGGTGACAACCGCGTGAGCCGCGAGCTGCTCG